TTGTCGATTTTTCGACACGCAGACATCGTTTACGGCGAAGGCTCTATGACTGACTGAATCGGATTGAACTGGATCGAGTTATGTATCGTTCTTTCCGTAATATTCTAAGCTTTCTCCAGAGGTCTGTCTCTAAGCGCTATTCATTTTAGTTCCGAAAATATTGTAGCAGACAGCTGACGTGCGTGTATTTGTAAACAGCTAGGTTCCCCCGGACCGATGACTGATGTGTTTTATTACGTTTATCATTGTTTTAGTGTTAAAAATCAAAAGTAGTGATATACGTGGTGCATTATAAGAAGATTTAAGTGGTTTTGAAGTGCTGGTTGATGATCCTGAAGAAGTAGGTAGTGATATTGATGTAAATTATCAGCCAGATTCCTAGCTATGGTTAGGCTCTGCATTCTTAGCTAAACGCTATGTACTGAAATCAGTTTTTTGCCCATAACTTATTTATTTGCAAATATACTTCCTTATATTATTATATATTTGTAATCCTCATAAAATTTAGAACAAAGTGGCTATTTTCAAATATTTATAGGCCTATAATTTATACAATTTCATTGAGCGCAAACTTATTTTTTTTTGAAAATTTTCGAAATTATATTTTTTTACCTAAAAATTTTTTTTTTGAAAAAATGTTCCTTATGTTTTGTATATATAATATTGAAGCCCATGATTTTCCAAACAAAATGGTATATAGAACATTAGAATTAACATTGTTTTAAGCTTCTCAGATCCGTTTTAATAAAACCTTGCAAATGCGCCAAAAATAGGTGGACATTAAGGCCTAAACTATGGACACTTGGAGGGTTAATGTCCATACATTATAAAAATATTTATTTGTTGACAAAGAGTTTTTTTTAAATTTCCCCCCCCCCCCAGATCTAAAAAAACATCATTAAATCTCAAATTCCCCCCCAAAATTGAATTGTATAGCACGGTTCGCACTATCAAATCATTCTGTGGGCACCCCTGAATCTAATGTTATTTAAATATATTTAAGTCAGAATCAAATCAGGTAAGTGGAAATCCACTTAGTCTGCAGGTTTGCTGTGGCAGGGGCATTTATAATAATCTAGCAATTCTGTAATTTAACCAGTATATAGAAGAAACAACTAATTAACAAAACACAATCCTGTACCTTGTGCACTATTCTCAAAACCAATAAAAAGGGACCACTAAATACAGGCATTGGGAGGTGGGAAGTTACTGATTAGGTTAGAACCACTCTTACTGTATTGAACATCGACACAAGAGCACAAGATTTCATGCAAGTACAGAACTGCTTGAACCGCCCCAGGAGAGTTGCATACAATCATTGGTATATTGGCTTTTCCAAGTATCCTTTATGTTGGTGTTAAGACTATGGTGAATGTTCCCACGCTGGAATATTTACGACTACTGTGAATGATAACTTTTGCCACATACTAGCAACTAATATACAGTGTACGTAAAACACAACCCATTCATACAAACAATCACAACACTCCTTTGTATTCAATATTTTACGGGATTTAATATATTTTTTTTAAGCAAGGTTTAATAATTGTAAGTAATGCTTAAGTGGAAGGAGCCTGTCCCTTTATTGTGTAGCTTCGTTGAGAGCCCACTTAAAGAGCTCAAACCATAACCTATTGAAAAAGTGTCCCACCAGGGTACTAGGCAAATCTATCAAACTCCAGCAGATATGGCAAGCCCTTTATCTACTAAACAACAACGTTCTTGTCTACAAAGGGACCAGAAATCACAGCTTACTGAATAGTGTGGCAATAAATATATCTTCACCCCACTATGATGTTTTTAGCGGTTTTACATACATTAATTGGTGGCTGTAAGTTATGTTTTGCTGGCCATGCCAGCTGTCATCGTTATTTGTGGACCAAGCAGGTTTTTACATCCCTAGGGCCGCAAAATCAGCTACCCACTTACTTACTTAAAACGAATGCATATTAAATACACAAACAAAATCCATAGCATTGCAATAGAATTGTTTTATTGTCACCATTGCCTAGGAACTATTTATTTTTATTTTTGCTGATTCCTCAAATTATTTCTTCACATAACCTTAAAGTTGTAGTTGTGTTGACTATCAGTGTGCATTATTATAGTGGTGAATAGTGGTAATAGGGTATGGTGTGGTGTATAATAGCGTTCGTACCACGGACCAAAATGGTTTTGCAGCTCTCGATCGATTTAAGTTCCCGACTTCGTGTTCGCCAGCAAAACCTCATTTTCGGCCCTAGGTATGAAATATACTATTACACATGCTGGGCGTATGCTGAGATGCAGACGTCACATTATTTGTTATAACCAATATAGATTAATGAGATTTGGTATATCCAAAATAGCCATAAATATCTATTATTTTAAGCTATTATCATTATCACTATCTGTAAGCTATTATACAGACCAATAGCACTGCTTCCCGCTATTTCTAAAATTTATGAAAAAGTAATCTATAATCAACTAGTAAATTTTTTTGAAAAGAATTGCCTTTTTGAAGAATGTCAACATGGTTTCCGCAGTGGTAGATCTGTAATAACAGCTGCCACAAAGTTTGTTGAATCTATTATTGATAGTTTGGACAGTAAATTAAAAGTGGTAGGATTATTTATGGATTTAAGTAAAGCCTTTGATTCAATATCACATGACCTTTTACTTTCAAAGCTAAGCAAATTAGGGATAAAGAACAATGCATTAAAGTTACTCAAGTCTTACCTTTCCAACAGAAAACAGTTTGTAGAAATAATTCACCAAAACAACAAAAACTATAAAATTCATTACCGATCCTCTATTAGAGATGTGAAATTTGGAGTGCCTCAGGGGTCCATCTTAGGCCCTTTATTATTCATTTGTTACTTTAGAGACTTTCCCCAACTCAGTGACTTGAGTGAACTTTGCCTATATGCTGATGATACTAATTTGAAAATCACTGCAAAATCAAATGATGAAATTGAACTTAAGGCAAATTCTGATATAGCTGTGTTAAATAATTTTTTTAATTCTAATAATTTGCTTCTTCATCCAGATAAGACAAATTTCATTAGTTTTCAAACTCGAGAATTAGGAGATCAAAATAAACCAGTCATCAAACTCGAGAACACAGAAATTCTAAGTATGGACAACATATTAAATTCTTGGGATTGGAAATTGATAAAAATCTGAAAAGGAACAGTCACGTTAAAAAGTTACTTGCCAAAATCACATCAGGATTATATGCTTTATCTAGATTGAAACCCTTATGTGAAAAACAAACTCTAAAAGTTATATATTTTTCTTATATCCACTCAAGTATATCTTTTGGGATTTCACTTTATGGTGCAACTAGTGATTACAATTTGAATTCTATTCTAAAAAAGCAAATGAAAGCTATTAGAATCATCTGCAATTTAGATTTTGAAACTTCTGTTAATAAAGAACATTTTAAATCAGAAAATATAATGACAATTTACGGAATGTACGTTTTTGAAACAATTTTATCAGTAAAGGACAGACTTCATGATTTGGAACGAGTTGGGGATAGTCATAATTATTTCACCAGAAATCGGGAAAACCTTGCAATTGGCCACCATAGTCTAAAACTTTTTGATAAAAAACCCATATATGCGGGATCAAAATTTTATAATAATCTCCCAATCGAAACTAAATCAGAGACTTCCAAAACAATACTTAAAAATAAATTAAAAAGATTTCTCATCAGCAAGGCTATTTTTTCTTTTGAAGAGTTGGATAGTCTTTGAGGTCAAAAACTAATTCAGGATATGTATTTTTTGTTTACAATTTATTTTAAAAAAAAATGTAAGTTCGTGAAATTTTGTTTTTATTTTCTTATTTTATAAATGTATTTAATAAATATTATTCCTACTTGCAGCTGAACTGTTGACACTATTCAATGTATTTTGTACAAGAGATGAATAAAGTAGTTTTGAATTGAATTGAATTTAATCACTTTTTTTATCCCTTAAGGAGTCAGACAAAACCGCCCATGAGGAGTCAGCGCATTGAGCAGAACATTTGGGTGTTCCCACCCAATGGAACATGGGGGGGGGGGTTGTGTACGTCGCCCATGAGGAGTCAGACAAAATTTATAAATAGCAGCATAGGTCGAGTTTGGTATCAAATTAAAGGTCTACGTTAGTAAAACACAATGCCACAACCCTGAACTCAAACGGGCAATGGAGTAAAAAATTACAGCTGTTCAAAGATTCCTTGAGTTTGCAATGCTTATAGCCTACTGTGGGGCGCCCACTAGAAGTTTGAAGAAAGTCACGATCGTAAGCATAGGTGGATATGAACATCAGGTTAAAAATTTTTATTTGTAGAATGCAATACCCAAATTTTGAGCTAAAAAAACAGCTGTGTAAAAAATGGCAGTCGTTCAAAGATTAAAAAAAGCATATTCAAGAAATATTTGAATGGCTGCCATTATTGACTCGGTTGTCTGTTTGAGTTTGAGTTGGCAGCAATGTTGACTTTAATACTTTTAATTTGATACCAAACTCGACTTACGCTGCTATTTAAGAATTTTGTCTGACTCCTCACGGGCCGTCCGTTAAGGGATAAAAAAGTGTTAATAGCTTAAAAGAGTAGATATTTATGGCTATTATTGATATAGCCTACCAAGTATCATTACTTTATCTATATTGGTAAGAAATATGTTACACCTTCCAGGACATTTAAACCACACTGTATTATAGATTATTTTTTTTAGATTTGGACAATAATTTTATTTTACTAACAGCATAGCTATTAACATTTGACTAAAAATATGTTAAACGTGGATGTCATTTAGATAGGGAAGGAATTAAAGTTCCATACCGGACTTAAAGGAGTTACTACTAATGTATTGTCGATCTTGTCAACTGCTAAAGTGCGTGTGCTGTGTGTTTTGCGTCGCTAAACTTGGCTTGCTGTGAGTTCCACCTTGTGTGTCTTAGCATACACCTGGCCTTAAGACTTTGATGTTATGGTAACTTATTTGGTGCACATAGTCTACTTACTTCCAAAAGTCTTTTCAGACAGAGATGCATCGTGGGGTTTTGTGCTTGTTTCCATTTGTCTTTCCTTTATAACTTGTTTCAACTCTTTTTCCATGAATTGCATTCTTCTCAGTTCTTGTTCTTTTTTATTTTCCTAATAAAAGCTATTGTTATAACACAGCATTTCCTTTGTAACATTATTAAAACTCTTATTAGAAAAAATAATTACTAGAGAAAATCAAACAACAACAAAAAAGTCTCAACCAAGAACTTAGACTTTGAACTCAAAAAAATCAGTACTTTCCAAATGACTACTGACTACACAGTGTCTTATTTTATCTAGACCACCATTAGTATGTTAATGTTATAATTCATAAAAAAAGGTAACAATAATTAGATTTGTAAAATTATTTGTCATTCAAGAACCCATCAACCGAACAGTAACTTGAGCCTTCTCTTGTAATCAATCTTTAAATAAATAAAATATTTTTAATGGATATTGGAAGTTAATTCAAATACACTATGACTCATATATTGAAGCCATTGAGGGTTCGAGTGGATCTGTCTATGCTGTGCAGTGGCGTAACCAGGTTTGGAGCGCCCTGGAGCAGAAATTGAATAATCACCCCTGATCACAAACATCACCATACACATATACAGGGTGACAATTAAGTCTTAGGGCGACTTTATAACCTTAAAACGAAAAGAGATAATACAACCAAATTTTGCATATCATTACAGGTAATAGTAAGCAACTTTTTTGTGTACATGGTGATTGGATGGCCCATAGGGAGTAAGTTGAAAATCTTAAAGATAAGCATCAGAGGTGATATGTACATCAAATTAAATTTCTTGTTGAATTAAAAACATTGCCGCAAACCGGACCTCAAATGGACAATCGAGTCAAAAATGACAGCTCTTCAAAGATCTATTGAATTTGCAATGTTATTATACGCTACCTCTTCAGGTCTGCCCTGCTAGAAGAAAGAATCCGGTTTGCGGCATTGTTTTTAGTTCAACTAGTCATATTTTATGTACAGTTGAGAGTATGTACAACAATTTTATGTACGTTGTACGTACCAACCTATGCTTACCTTTAAAACCCCTCCCGGACGGGCGAAATCGTGACATAGGACGGGAAAAAATTAGAGGAAAAAATAAAAATTAATTTTCTTTATTTGTGTTTTGTTTTACAAGTATACATAAAATAAACACAATGGAACACTTCATACTGTCAAAATAATTTTTTACTCGTTTTTATTACTTCCAGGCAAAAGCCGAAATATATATTTTTACTAAACATCTGTTGAATAAGTCTGGTTAGTAAATTAATAGTTTTTGAGCAAGACTTGACAACAAATTGTTTGTAATAGTTGAATTTATTTTACCTAACATCGCATTTTACTGAATTATCGTGTTGTTTTGGTTACAGTTCGGTGTGATAAAATTAATGTTTGAAAGTGATTATTTACAGTGCAGCTACCCGTTACATTACCAATTACCATATTATGTAATTTACAATATGCATCAAAATTCCGTTGTAGTGTTTTCTGTTCTTTGGTTAACTTTCGTATTATATCTCAATTTAAAATTAAATGCCACCAGTAAGACGAAGAACTGTAAGTGGCTGGAGGAATCGTAAACGTGGCCGCTTGCATCAACCACCCAATGGAACATTTTAAGGTTACAGAATGGCAACCACTGTGTGTGATATATCTAGCCTTGGACAGATGAACGTTAAATGTTTACATTGTGGTGGCACATTTTAAGCAAAAAAGATACTGGCCGAGACAGTTCAATTGTTACTCTTTGTTGCCATAAATGAGAGAACCATTTACCTCTTCTGCGGAATTCACCATACTTTCATGAACTTATTGGAAACTCCCAATCTGAAAACAGAATAATCTGAAATCGTAATAACTATGCTGATATATCCGCTACCCGTCTGTGGATGAGTAGAAATGCAGCAGATATATCCACCATCCGTCTTTAAAGATATGACCATGACAACTTCAGGAAATAAATAAAGAACAATACGCAAACAATAAATAAAGACAACGTAATGTTGAGCGTGAAACGTCGAGGGGGGAGCGTAGGAGTGGTGGTAGGTGCGCGGGAGGTGGGGTGGTGCAGGAGAGGGGTTGGCGCGGGTGAGAGGGGGGAGTGTGGGGGAGAGCGCAGTCATGGAAAGAGCAGAAAATTGGCGCCTTGGTAGCGCGAAACATCTGTTTACTGCTCAAGCACCTGCCAGTCTGTCTGAAGAGAAGGCGGATATAACCGCTTCCCGTCCAGAACATCAAAAACCATAAGCAGATATATCCGTCACCTGTCCTTTATCGCCAAAGACTCAGGCAAATATATCCGTCATCCGTCCGCGAAGGGTTAAGATTTTCAACCTACTCCATATGGGCCTTCCCCATGTGACATCCCCCATCGATGACATCCGATCATAATGAACACCATAAAGTAGCTTACTGTTACCAGCAAAGAAATGCCAAATTTGGTTGTGATATCTCTTTTTGTTTTAAAGTTATAAAGTCATCCTAAGACTTAATTGTCACCCTGTCATGGGCGTACCCAGAGAGGGGAGGAGGGGGGCAGCTGCCCCCCCCCCCTAGAAGCCAGGATAAGGTATACAAAATTGAGATCCAAGAAAAATTTTATTGGTACGAGAAAATATGAGTAAGATAGACAGATTTGTTATGAAATGTTTTGACACATGTTATCAATTTTTCATTAGTTTCTGAGTTATTTCTTAAATAAAATCTAAATTCCTACATTTGTAATAAACAGACCAATTTCTTGCAATATGTAGGCCTATAAACTAACAACTTTGTGCAGTATAACCTATTTTTTGTGACATTATTTTGTTTTCATTTGCCTTCAACAATAATGTAATGAACAAAATTGCTCTACGGCATAAGTTATCAGGCATTCTTCAAAATAGTTTACCACACATTTCGGGTGTTTATCTTATCTTATCTTATCTAACAGGGGCAGGTCGAGACCTTAAAGCACTTCATCCGAAATCGAATTATTGCGCACCCCAGACAATTGCTTTCTTGTTGACCTACAAGTTAAAGTGCCCAATGAATGCCTGTAGCTTCCCAATTAGTTCATCCTCAGGAAGGTATCTACCTCTAGCCATATTTCCAAGAGTTATCAATCTAGCGTCAGAGAGCTCGTTACAATCAAAGAGTAAGTGATCAGCTGTCTCTTCTGACCTATCACAGTACCTACAGATCGGTTCACCATCATATAAGCCCATCCGTTGTAAATGTTTCCTGAATCTTCCATGACCAGTTATCAGTTCAACAGTTAATTTAATTCTTCGTCTGTCTAGTCTCAAGAGGTCAGAGGCGACCTTTTTAGAAGGCCTAAACAGAGTAAGCTTGCTGACCCTAAGAAGGGGAACATCGACCCAGCGTTTGCGATGCTTTTCCTTGGCCCATGACGCAATCGAAGAACATGCACTGTTTCGTGAGATACCACAGAAGGGTTGTGGGCCTATCATTGATGTCGCAGAGGCAGTATTTGCCAATCTGTCTGCAGCTTCATTACCTTTAATGCCTGAGTGTCCTGGCACCCAGCAAAGCGTAAGGTCATTTCTCCTACCCAACTCAGACACAGAAGCAAGACAGTCCCACACGAGCCTGGAGTTGAATTCGTAAGAGTTTAATGCTTTTAAGGTCGCTTGACTATCAGTAAAGATATTGATTGTTTTGTCTCTGATATCTTTGTTAAGCTGTTCTCGAGCACAAACCAGAATGGTAGTGACCTCTGCTTGAAAAACAGTTGGGTACACCCCCATTGGAAGACAAATGCCAGTGCCTCCATTTGTCCAATGCACACCTGCTCCAGTGCCCCCATTATTGATCTTAGAACCATCAGTATAGCATTCTAAATCACCTGTGGGTATGGGTCCTTTTCCGCCAGACCAATCCTTCCTATCTGGTATTAGTACTTTGAAAGGCTTTCCAAAGGAGTATTTTTTGGACATTTCGGGTGTTATAAATGGATGTGAAAAGTTGGCATGGACACAAAAATACAGTTAAATGTTTATTGTACAGCTAAGCAACCTGACCTGACTACATTGACGGACATAAAGCCACTTCATAAACTAAGACTTAAAAGCTGGATTATCGAGCTAGGTTGGTTATATTAATGTCACAAAATAGCGTAAAATACGCTAATTTCAGCATATTGTTTTTAAAATTTTCCCGGGGGTATTATGGAATACCCCCCAGGCCCCCCGGTGTGCCGCCCCTGTTTCAAGCACACTCTTCCCCCCCCCCTAGTTTTGATCCTGGGTACGCCCTTGCACCCTGTATAGTAAATTTCCCTCTTAAATGGTTTTCGTGGATGTTTTGTTGATAAACAATCAAAACACATCGTAGCTACATACATTTTTAATTGACAATAAATTACAAATTACATAATAGGTAGTATAATTAGGAGCTAATATATCTCGGGTCTCGGCACTCTATGCTGTCACCATGAGACTGACTCTAATACTGAATATACCGTACCGTCTGAAGATTGAGTGCCAAAATAATAATTGTTAGTGCTATATTATGTAATTTATTGTGGAATAATAACTTAGTACGTACTAGATAACCTGTTGCTCGAAATTGAGCAAAACTTCAGCTTGTAATAAAAAATAAAAAAAACAAAAACGGAAATAGCAAGACCTTAATAAGAGAATCATTCTAAAGTCTATAACTGATTATAGAAATATGCAAAATATTATGTTATAAAAGATTATAAAACTAACCTACAATATTTTAACATAGATCCGCTCTCATACTGCTTTGGTTTGCTCTATTTATGTATTGTAGGTGGGTCCCATCTATGAGAACGTAGATGTCAACCCCACACTGTAAAGTGGGCTTTTCAAACTTAATGTTGCAAGCCAAATCCCTCTCTTGACGCCAACCAGTACGACACGTATAGCACTGTTAAGTTATTTCTACGATAGGTTCTGTTTTAGGCATTTTTAAATTAGGGGCCCCAACCAAAGTCTCTGGTTGGGAACATTAGAGGGCAAGCAAGTGGATCTAACGACGGATCTAGAACGGATTCGCGTTTAACATTATTAGTTTTTGAAAAAAGAAATTAAGGTTTATTTGGTCTGGTGGTGCTCTGTTTTCAGCT